CCCAGGTTTAATTCCCAGCCACCTTCTTTGTCTAGAGTCCGAAAGGTCAGTGCCTTTGTCCAGGCTGTGTCTGAGGCAGGACTTGAACCCGGGGCTTCCAGAATGGTTCTCTGCCATGAGGCTGAAATCAGAGGAGAAGCAATGACCAACCTGGGGCCTGGAGGAAAGTGATAAAAGCCACTCACCTCCCTTAAAGAGAGGTACTGAACCTTGCATGTTATTTTGGTAGGTTTTAATTTAAAAACATTATTTTACAGGGATGGTTCTAAGAGTAAAAAATGCAAAAAGCAAAAGAAATGATAGCACTTTATGGGGGAGAGGGGGCAGGGTAAGAGCACAGTAATCATACCATCTCCATAGCGGTCTCTGGGGCTGAAAGGGCCCTAGGTGTAGGGCTGGAGGGCCACCAGTGGCCACTAAGTCCAATGCCCCCATTTTACAGAACGAGGAAGCCGAGGCCCAAGACAGTGAGGCATCTTTCCATAGGTGGCTCAATGACTCCACAGTAGGCCAACACTGTTTCTATATTCCAGGTCCTGTGGTGTTCTTTTTTAACTGCACCTAAGGGACGGTGAGTCACCTGGCCTGACTGTCCCAGAGGCTGGAGGAAAGCAAGTCGTATGTGATAAGTCTGGCGACGTGACTTGCGTCCAGCAGGTGGAAGGCCTTGAATGTCAGGTTAAGGAATCCTGACTGCACTGTGCTGGCGGCAGATGGCTTTCTGAACAGGTAGGTACGTTCCAAGCTCAAAGAGACCCACCTTTCAGGAGAGGGACAAACGGGGATGCAATGGCTCCCCCACAGCCCTGGGGTGGGATCAGGTTCCCTGGGAATGGGCAGCAGAGGTGGCCAGGCCTTCAGTCCCGTCTGCCCAGTGCCCTGAGCCCCAGCCCTCCCACCAACTTCCAGCCAAATGCCTTAGGTGTCCCCACCTCGCCCTAGAGACAAAATTGAATCAATACCATTGGAAACAATCTATGGCCCCAGGGGTCCACTCCCAACCTAACTTTCCAAACCAAAATAACCCTCCTGGGGCACACTACACACCCTCAGTTATAAGAGGAGGTCTCCCATTCAACTCCTCGAGGGCAGGCATTTCCATTGGCACTGGAGCTCAGAAGGAAGTAGGGGCTAAATTCATTCATTCATTCATTCATTCATTCAATCCAGAAAGGAGAACCTAGGACAGGTCCAAGGGGCCACAGAAGCCAAAAGGGGTAGAAGATCTACCTGGGAAGGGAAGAGGGGCAGAGGACAGAGGCTCTGGAACCTCTGGGGGCTCCTCCAGGTTTTTACCTGTTTTTTATTATTATTATTATTATCTATTATTCGCTGTGTCCACTCTGGGGGAAAAAACAAACTGCCATTGGTTGTGGGTGAGAATCCTGCCTTGACATCAGGGCAAAGGCAACCAGAATGGATGGAATCAAGGGTAAATTCTAAATCTACCCATCACTGTGAACCCTAAGCTGACCACCCCTTCCTCTGTCTGGGTCCATTTCCTTTTTACCATGGAGGAGTGGGGGGTCTAAACTGCAGAAGAATTTGGTTTTTACAGCTGTAGAAGAGTGAGAGAGAGAGAGACAGACAGAGAGAGAGAGAGAGAGTATATGTGTGTGTGTGTGTGTGTGTGTGTGTGTGTGTGTGTGTGTGTGTGTGTTTCTGTTTAAAGTGAGAAGTAACAAACATAGCCTGGTGGTCATAGCACTGCAATGAAAGTCCGAATCCCTAGGTTCAAATTCCACCTCAACCACTAGATCAGCTATGGGTACCCAGAAGTCACTTAACTCTCAGAGCCCCAATTTCCTCATCTACGAAATGGGGATAACCGCCCCCCCGATGTTCTGTAAATCGCAAAGCACTGGACAAGTATGAATCATGACAACGTGTGGTCCACTGTGAACGGCAGGGCCAACATGGCGGCCCGGCTTGGTGCTGCATCTTGAGAGCAGATCTAGGCCCCACACATTGGCTTGAGGAACAGCCATGGGAGACAAGAAGGCCTCATCCCCCAGGACAGCTGGCCAACAGCCAACTCTTGCTGGGTCTATGTGGAATGAGAACAGGAACCAAACAACCAAGGCCTATGAGCAGCAGGGAGGATTCCAGACTCTGCAGCTGGCCCCTGCCCTCAGAGGGCTCACATTCCCTCCCCTCCACCGTCTTCTGGCTTGATTTTCTGGGTGGGAGAAGATTTCTCTCTTTATCGACCAAGATTCTCCCCTATTTTTTGGGGGGGGGAGGCCAGGCAATGGGGTTAAGTGACTTGCCCAGGGTCACAGAGCAACTAAGAGTTATGTGCCTGAGGCTGGATTTGAACTCAGGTCCTCCTGAATCCAGTGCCAGCTCTCTATCCACTGCACCACTAGCTGCCCCCTATTTTTTTTTTTAATCTAAGAGGTGCATCATTCTTTTCTTTGCCTGGTCAACAAAGATCATAGCTTTAAGGGTGGAAAGGAACTCAGAGGTTATAACTTAATCCCCTAATATTACAGGGGAGGAAACTGAGGCCTGAAAAGATGAAGCGGCTTCCCCAAGGTATTAAAGAGCAGAACCAGGCTCTGAAATTAGGCCGGCATGATGCAGTGGGGAAAATTCTGGATTTGGGGTCAGAAGATCCGGGTTCAAATCATGACTGCCATTTATTATCTGTGGCACTTTGGACAAGTCACTTCCCTCTGTAAAAAGGAAGAGGTTAGAGATGACCTCAAAGGGCCCTCCCAGCTCTAAATCAATGACTCCCAAGTCCAAAGGCTTTCCCACCCCATCACCAGATGATCAAGAATCCGCCCCCCCTTAGGAATCCTGGGGTGAGAGGCGAAGACTGAGACACTTTCTGAGTAGTGCTGGCCACCTGGACCACAGGCAGGTGGGAAAAGCCTTCACAATTCACTCTACTGGGGAGGGGAGGGGGTCACTCCAGCTCCCAGACCGCCCTGCAAGGGCTGTTCATAACTCCCTGGGGCTCGTACCCTTCAGTTTTTCCAGTTTCTCCCCAGACACCAATGTCTTAGCCCATGAATCCCCTCCAGTTTCTCTCCCCACCCCCTGCAAAAGACTCAGCTGCAGCCTGAGTCATCCCCCACTAGATGACTACAGTACAGGCAAGTCAACCCCCAGTTGCCTGTGTGACAAGAAACAGAAGGGGAGAAAAAAAAAAAGCAAGGGGGCTTACCCGGTGTACCCCATCACTGGGGGCCCTGAGGAGGAATTCTATACCCGGACCTCCCCCCACTGGATAACGGGGATAGGCAGTTTGGGGGGGGAGCTGGGTTTTTTTGTTTTTTTTAAACAGAGGACTTGTTTAATAATTACCTTTTTAAGAAAAAAAAATAGGGTTGGGCTCCTCTAGCCTCAGTTACAGGGAAATTGAAGGCAAAAGCCAAATTCATATGGAGATTTCCATCCTTAAAAGCCCAGGCTAAGAAAGTCAACAAGATACTTGGTAAACAGGACCTAGGCAAACAATGGGGAGGTGTGTTTGGGGGGGAGCAGAGGCACAGATCTAGGGAGATTTCCAGACAAGCAAGTAAGAAGTTAACCAGAGCAGTTAAGACAGTCCCATTCAATGGCCCTTCTAATTCTGTCCCCCCCCCTTTTAAATCTCCAACTCGCCAAGCAGAAACCGGTTATTTTAATTTTAACCTTGACTTGCAACTTTCTCTTTTCTTTTCCTTTTTTTTTGAAAGGAGGGGAGAAAAATGCAACACCAGTCACAACAACTCCCATTAGCCAGGAGCTTCTCTTCCAGCACCCCCCTCCCCATTTAAGCCAGGATTGGAAAGGGTAGCCGATGAAAAGTGAAGTCATAAGCATTGGGAAAAACAAAACACTTAAGTGTCAGCCGGAATCTCTCTCTCTCTCTCTCTCTCTCTCTCTCTCTCTCTCTCTCTCTCTCTCTCTCTCTCTCTCACAGCCCTTCATCCATACAGCCCTGGGGCCTGACAAATAGATCCAGCCAGGGCACCCACCCAGCCTGCCAAGTCTCAGACACCTTTAGCCACTTAAGTTCTAAAGGCCTTGGGGAGGCTTCCTTTTCTGGAGGGGAGGCTGTCTTTGCAGCATCGCCCCCCCCAAAAAAAACCCACCCCAAACACAGTGAATATAACTGCCACCCTTTGCACAGATTTGGAAACTGTTCTTCCAGGCACAATAATAATGATTAATAATGAGATTTTAAAGATACTCCCACCCCCCAAAAAAGCAGAAGGTTGCAGGGAGGACCGGAGCCTTTCTCCACTCCCTGGCCCCCAGGCTCTTCTGAATTTCGACCAGCTACCTTGACAGAAACACACATTCAGGATTTTATGATCCACCCCCTCCCCATAACTGCTCCGGGCAGATTCCCTCCCTCCGCTGCTCTCCCCTCACCCTCCCCCCCCCGGCCCCCAGCTCTTTGTTGTCCCTGGAACGAACCGATTCTTTTCTTTCTCTCTGTCTCTGTCTCCCTTTTTTTTCTTTACTTTCACTGTTTTTCCTCTACATTCCCCACACCTGTTTTTCATTCATTCATTCATTCATTCGCGACTGCAGCCGCCTCCTCCTCCTCCTCCTCTTCCTCCTCCTCCCCCTCCCTCCTCCCCGGCTCTCCAGATTTCCAGGGGGGGGGAGGGAGAGAGGGAGGCAGGGAGGAGAGAGAGAGAGGAGAAGAGAGGAGGGGAGGGGGGTGGTGAGACAGACAGAGAGTGGAAAGACCCAGCCAAGGGGCAGCCCAGCTGGCTTTGTCAAAAACACCCCCGGCCCCCCGAGGAAGGCTCAGGGAGGGGAGGGGGCAGAGCCAAGCGAGGGGGGGAGACAGGAGGAGGGGGGATCCACAGGCACGAAGTTGTTTTTCTAGCCCTCTCCGCTCCCCCCACCCCCTCCCCTCCTCCCTCCTCCCCCCTCCCCGCTCCTGCAAGGGAATTAGCCCAGGGAAGCCGGCTCAGTTGCAGCCTCTTTGTCTCCCCGCGATCGGGCGCCGGGGCGCGGGTGCGTGGGCCCCCCCCCCCGGGCACACTCACCTGGTCTTGGAGGACAGGAAGGCAAGTTTGATGAGCCCGTAGGTAAACAGAGGCACGCTCTCCTTGGCTATGCTGGCCACTTTCAGCCGGTGTTCTAAGATGTGAAGCTCCATCTTTTCCTCTTTCTCATTGGGAGTTAGTTCATCCGAGGGGCGCACGGGGGTCTCACTCCCTTCAGCGCCCCCCCCTTCCCCGGCCCCCGCCCCCTCCCCCCCACGGGGCACCGTCGGCGGGGCTGATTGGAGGGGAGGGGTTCGGCGCGGCTCCCGGCGCTGGGGGACGTGGAGGAGGAGAAGCCCAGGGCTTGGGGGGAGAGGCAAAAGCAGCGCCCCAAAGTTGCTCGGGCTGCCCCAGCCGCGGGCGGCGGAGAGAAACAGCGAGCCGAGGCTCGGAGCCGCCGCAGGAGGAGTTGAGGGGCAGAGGAGACGCGCAGCTCCCGAGTGCAGAAAGCAGCTGGTGTTACAGTCTAACAAACAACTTGCCACTCAAACTCGGGCCTCGCTGCGCTTGCGCCGGCCGGCCCGGGCCTGCTGGGACTTGTAGTCTGGCCGCGAGCCGGAGGCGGGGCCAGGAGAGGAGGGGCGGGGAGAGGAGCGGGAGGGGAGGGGGGAGGAGTGCAATTGACTCATGCCTGCCTAGTGTCCTCGAAAACAAGGAGACAGAGCTGATGTCAGCAGCTAAGGCTACTGCTGCTGCTGCTGCTCCTCCTCGCTAACTCCTCCTAGCTAACTCCTCCTCACCTCCTCACCTCCTTCTTCTCACATCCTCTTCCTCCTCCTCACCTCCTCCTCACCTCCTCCTCTTCACCTCCTCCTTACCTCTTCCTCCTCACCTCTTCATCCTCTCTCCTTCTCCTCCTCACCTTTTCCTCCTTCTCCTTTTTCCTCCTCCTTCTCACCTGTTCCTCCTCTTTCCTTCCCTCCTCCTCTTCACCTTTTCCTCCTCCTCTTCCTTGCCTTCCTCTCCTTTTCCTCCTCACCTCCTTTCCTTCTCATTACCTCTTCATCTTTTCTTTTTCCCTCCTCCTTCCTCCTCTTCCTCACCTTCTTCTCACTTCCTTCTCCTTCCCTTACCTTCCCTTCCTCTTCCTCCCCACCTCTTCCTTCCCCTCACTTTCTTCCTGGCTGTTGTGATCTGGAGGCCAGACCATGATCACAACAACAATGATAATAAGAACAACATAAAAATAACAGCTAGCTTTTATGCTAGCTATTTAAGGTTTTCGAGCACTTTACAAATATCAGCTCATTTGATGTTCACAATAACCTTGGGAGGTAGGGGCTGTTATTATCCCCATTTTCTAGTAGCAGAAACTGAGAGAGTTGAAGTGACTTCCCCAGAGGGCCAAACAGCTAGTATGTGTCTGTCTGGATTTGAACCCAGGTCCTCCTGACTCATCCAGTGACCCCCAATCACTACAAATGTCAGCTGAGACAGAAGGCAGTCCAAAGGGAGAAGCTGGGAGTAAGCTTAGTGCTTGCCAAGGCCCATACAGCAATTTTTCACACCATAGGTTATGGCTAAGGTCCATACTAAAATAATGAAAATAATAATTTTTTTTTACATTCCATTTTACTGGTTTTTGGGTTCGTAGCTTTTGCCTTAAAACCCTCTCTTGTTTATGAAGTCCGTAGATTAAGTCCAAGAGCTTAGACTGATGTTTAGGAGACTGTCATTATTATCTTCAGCTCTGGGACTCACGAGGTGAATTCCTCTTCTCTCTGGGCCTCGGTTTCTCCATCTGTAAAATGAGAGGGCTGAACAAGCTGATAGTAAATCATCCTTTTACGTATGCTTTAATTTAATCCTCACAGTTTTACAAGAGCATGAACTGAGGAAGAGGGAGAGAGGCAGGATTTGAACCCAAGTCTTCTGATTCTTTTTTGTTGTTGTTGAGGCAGTCAGGGTTGAATGACTTGCCCCAGGGTCACATGGCTAGTAAGTGTCTGAGGCAGGATTTTAATTCAGTTCCTCTGACTCTAGCTATCCACTTCAGGGCCACTTAGCTGCCTCAAGTCCTCTGACTCTTAAATGCTACTACACTGTGTGCTGCCAGACTGCCTTCTGTAAGGTGTGAACTAGAATTATGCATTTTGCAGCTATCTTAGCCTATTCTCTCTCTGAGAATCCCTAATTCTCTCTAAAACTCAACCCCAGAGCCACCTCCCACATGCCTCTGTTCCCGACACCATCCCTGACGCTGCAGGGGCCTTCTCCCTCCACCACCTTTAATTTTTTCTTGGTATCTTATATATACTTTATTCTTTTTTTTTTTTGGCTAGGCAATTGGGGTTAAATGACTTACCCAAGGTCACACAGCTAGTAAGTATCAAGTGTCTGAGGCTGGATTTGAACTCAGGTCCTCCTGACTCCACAGCTGGTGCTCTGTTCACTTCACCCACCTTGCTGCCCCTACATACTTTATTCTTGCACCTGTCTTCCAGGAGAGAATGTCAGCCCCAAAGGGTAAGGACTCCTGTCCTTATATCTCTGGGCCTAGTGTTTGTGGCTTGATCAATTGATGAGGAAACTGAGCCTGAGCTAAGCTAAGCCAATGACAGCCCTAGGAGGATTTTGCCTAGTTGTGATCAGTGGAGCTGACAGTACAGAAAGAGGCCAGGGGAAGTGCACAGGGCCCATGATGGAGCTCTGGGAGCTCTGGGATGGACTTCGGATGTTAATTAACAAAGCAGGCCAGAAGCTTGCCTTGGGCTAAGGGATGGGGATTTAAAAAAAGAAAAGGTTAAAACAGCTCCTCTTGACTGGGAGTTTACATTCAAAGGGGAGCAGCTAAATAGCCAGCACAGGCCAGGTCTACAGGGAGCAGATGGGACACGATCTCAAGAGAGGAAGGCAGTCATCAATGGGGAGATGGGGAACCTCGGTTTCAAGGTGAGGCTTGAAAGAAGTCAGAGAAACTAAGAGATGGAGCTGGCTATGAGGGAGGGCTTCCCAGTCTTGGGGGACAGCCAGTGTAGACACTGGACTGGAAATGAAACATTGGGCGGGAGGAACGAGGAACTAGCCAGTGTTGATGGACCCTGGAACGTGTGGAGGGGATCACGGTGTAAGACTGAAAAAGGAGGCAGGTGCCAGGATATGAAGGGCTTGAAAGGCCAAACAGAGATTATTCTGGATCCTCGGGGTAATAGGGAGCCAGCAAAGCTCATGGAGCAGAGGAGTAACCTAGTCCATTCTATGCTTTAGAAAAATCACCTTGTGAGCTGTCGCTATTCTTTCATTTTTTGAAGAGGACCAATGACATCAGGGCAACATCCTGCCTTGTACATGAATTGGATTTAAGTGAGGCCGAGTTGCACAAAATCATCGCTCACTCTCTATTCCAGAGTCATCGAAGTCCGGTGACAAGACAAAAATCGGGACAACTGGCGATGGCCCAGGAGGCAGTGGGCGACCTTGGCGTCTTAACCTCTAAGTGCTCCCCAGCTCCTGCTTTCAGCTGCCTTCGTGGTCGTCAAGCACAGATGGTTCTCAGCCACCCATTCCACCAGGGAAGGTCTTTACGTGCTTGGGGAGACATCCCCCAACTCACCAACCTCAGTTACCCTCAGCCTAATATAGCCCCCCTGCAGAGACAATTTGCTAGCTATGTGACTGGCAACCGGGCTGATTTCTCTGAGTCTCAGTTTCTTCACCTGTAGAATGGGGGATTGGACCAGCTTGCTTCTATAGTATCTTTTAGCACTAGATCTTTTTTGTTGGTTAGCTGTTTCAGTCATATTTGACTCTTTACCAGTTCCTTCTCCAGGTCATTTGACAGATGAGGAAACTGAGGCAAACAGGGGTAAGTGACTGGATTTCAACATAGGAAGATGAGGCCAGGTACTCACTCTACCCAGTGCATCACTTAACTGTCCCAAGACTAGGTTCTATAATTCTTCCATTGTCTGCTTTACTGCTCCTGTTTCTATACCTTTGATCACACCGTTGCCCACGTATAGAACGGACTGGCTTCCCTTTCTATCCGTTGAAGTCACTCCCTTGTGTCTGCATTGATCTCAGGTGATTCCATGCAGCCTTCCATAATTCTTCCAGCTAAAATCAACCAATCAATCAGTAAGTATTTATTAAGCCTCTACTGTGTGCCAGCCCCCCCCCCATCTTTCCCTTCTCCAACTTGTCTTAATACCTTTCTTAGCAGTATCTTTGGCTCCTCTGTAACTCCCCTTTATAGCACAGGATTTTCAGTACGCATCTTTGCTATTATAAGATTATAGGTTGCAATTACCGAGGATTATAAGCCGCGTCATCTTATAAAGGTGGTTAAAGAATGGTAGAAGGAAACCAGCCTGAAGAAACCTTGTTGCAAGACCCAGTGAAGCAAGGTCATCTTAAGAACATTTATAGATGAAAATGAAAGCGGTAGAACAAGTAGAGGTAAAATGGAACATATTATCCAGTGTTCTTATGTGACTGAGACTCATCATTGAGCATTTCCTAGTCCCCCCAGCTGCCAGTGCTTTTGCCCCAAAGTACCTTTTATTGATTTTCTAAACTTCTCTATGTATGTGTTTTCTCTTCCAATAGAATGTAAGTTCCATGAGACTAAGGGCTATTTAATTTTTGTCTCTGTATCCCCAACGTCTAGCAAAGTACCTGGCACACAATAGGTGTTTAATACATGCTTACGGATGAAATGATCAATGACTGGAAAACCACATTTTGACTCCACAGCCTCAGAGCCGTATATAATATGTACACACGTGGGAAGGGCACTTTAGAAGATGAAAGTGAACTCTAGCAGTCTGAGAATCAACTAATCGGCAACAGTGGTAATAAAATGATAAAAAAGCAATGCTGGTGGGGCTGTGGAGAAACAGGCTAGCTGTTATACAGCCAGAGCTAGGAAATGGTGCAATTGCTTTGAAAAGCAGCCGAGTGACATACAATGAGTGCCATAAAACTGCTCATACCCTCAACCTGGTGATCTCCCTATGAGGCCTATACCCTAAAGCAGAGAAAAAAGGCCTCTCTGTAAATATAAATAAATATATATGTATATATGTGTGTACACACATATATATATACATACACACATACATATATATACACACATATATATATATACATACATATATACATGCATGTATACGTGTCTGTATGTGTGAGTATATACATGTTCCTAGCAGCATTGCTTTTTAAAAATAAATTAGTTGGAGGGTGGCAGCTAGGTGGCACAGTGGATAGAGCACCAGCCCTGAAGTCAGGAGGACCTGAGTTCAAATCTGGCCTCAGACCAAACACTTGGCACTTACTAGCTGTGTGACCCTGGGCAAGTCACTGAACCCCATTGCCTAGCAAAAAAGCCCAAACAAAATGGAATCCATCCCTTCTCCGTCAGGAGGTGGATAGTATCTTTGATCACCAGCCCTCCAGAATCATGGCTGGTCATTAAACTGATCAGAGTGTATGAGTCTTTCTAAGTTGTTTTCCCTTTCAGTGTTGTTATTAATATTAAATAAATTGTTCTGCTG